ATATATATATATATATACACACCTTGCTACGTGTACTGCGTTAGGCTAACCGAGACTTGTCATTTGCACTTACAGTATATATTGTTGCTCTTTTGTTAGTTTTGACTTCTTTTATTGTCCTCATTTGTATGTCGCTTTGGATAAAAGCGTCTGCTAAATGACTAAATGTAAATGTATAATATCATAGCTTATGTTTAAAACAATGTTCATATAGATAAACATGAAAAATTATGACTGTTATAACAATGTAAATATGGGGTAAACCCTGTTGTAAGTGAAATTGCTGTGGAATTTAAGAGTAATGGAATTTATTTATTAGTGTAAAGTATACAGTATTTATTAAAAATATAGTCAAAATACAGTTCAAACACATATATGTATATATCAATGATATCAGAATTTATAAAAAATTTCACTGCACAACCACTATATAAGCTTATGATAAGGATAAAGTAAAAATGTAATATAACATATCCAAAAGAAATAGTAGCATAAAAATGAGATAAAATTAGTTAAATTAAATAATCAATAACATGATTTAATTAATAATACATGCATGCATTTACATTTAACATTCATTACTTCTGTGAGTATGCCAATCCCACACAATTGGCTAATGCAAATTCATATATTTAAGTTAATATCACACCATGAGTCTTACATGGAACTTACAAACAATGTATAATGACTTATTGGATATTTGGTATAGATATAAATTATTTTCTGCGTGTTTCATCTGTTCATTATGTGATTACAACCTCACTTTTGTTTTTTTTGCTGCATTCATTCATTGTTTTTGCTTCAAAATGGCAGTACTGACAATGTTTTTAACAAAAGAATTATAACAATAAACCTTTTTAAAAACCAAATGGCAAAAAAGCATTTTTTTGTAAGTGTAATTATAATATGAATGACACATACAGTGTCGGCACTTCATGTCTATATATACCAAAGACTCACACTCACATGGTACAGCTGCAGTCAAAAATGGGCAAGGTAAAGCAATACTGTAAGGAAAGTGAGAAAAGCCATACAAAAATATTTTTTTTACCTTATATTCAAGATATTTACACTGGATTTACTGTAAACTTTATATACATATGGATTTTCTTCTCTTTTTTAACAGATCATTTTCTATGAAGATAAGAATTTTGAGGGTCATCAGTATGAATGCAGTGGTGATTGTTCCGATATGCTCTGCTATCTGAACCGCTGTAACTCCATCATGGTGGAGAGTGGATGCTTCATGATCTATGAACAACCACATTACAAAGGCCAGCAATTCTTGGTCCATAAAGGAGAGTACCCAGACTTTAAAAGCTGGTTGGGCAAAAATGACTGCGTCTGTTCCTGCTGTGAAATTCCCAAGGTGATTATGCTATATTAATTATACTATATGCTTGAGTATCAGGAATGAGTGAAAAATTAGAGAAAAAGTTTTGTATTAAGATAGTAGCTGATTTTCACACGTTTTGTTCTTCTCTCTATCAGACACAGGGATCTTCTCATGAGGTGAAACTGTTTGAGAGAATGGAGTATGGAGGTCAAATGATGGCTTTTGTGGATGACTGCCCAAATGTCATGGACATGTTCCAAACAAACCACGTATTCTCCTGCAAGGTGATTGGTGGAAGCTGGCTCTTCTTTGAACAGTCCAACTACAAAGGCAGGATGTACCTCATAAGGCCTGGAGAATACACAAGATTCACTGAATGGGGAGGCTTGAGTGCCCGTGTGGGTTCCATCAAACGAATAATTGATTACGAGAATTAACATTTATCCAGGCTGCTCAGTAGTTTTTATTATTTGTTTATTTTTTAATGTAATATACACTGTTGTAAACATACACACCAAACCTACAATTAATATTTGCTTCTATTACTTAACATGGGTCTAACATGTTACACAAGACAGGCAATCATATTGAATAACAACTTACGAAGCCTTTATGCTTTAAATGCTCTTATATGTTTCCTCAAAAATAAACGTTTATACATTTTGAATCTATCATTTTTTATTATTTTTGATAGAATGTTTTACTTAATATTTGACAGTATAATTTTCATAATGTAACTGTGTTTATTGTAGCAGACTAATTAAATACCACGGCTGTTACGTGCTGTGCATATGTGTTTTTTTTTCCTACCCTCCCTCGTCTTTTTCTTCTGCTGCCTCGCTCTTAGGTTCCTGATTGGACCTGTCGGCTGCCAGTCATAATTGTGACGTCACCTTCTGCGCCCAATCCGCTGTTGCCCTGCCGGTTTAAAAGGTCCTCCCGCGAACTTCGTGGGGCGGCGGTGTGTTTGTGTGTTTTGGTTTGCTGAGATTAGTTTTTGTATCTTACTCTTTAATTCTGTGTCTAGCATTTGCTGTGTATTTGGAGGTACAGATTGTTTATTCCTTGATTAGGGGAAACTTTAAAACATATTTTATGTTCCACTTTAATGTTAGTTTACTGGTATTTTAGTTTGGTCATTATATAAGATGAATCATATCATATTGCAGCTTCATCCAGACTTAAATGAACCATCCATTACTCAACTGATTCAAGACCTTTTGCTTTTGCATTGATTTTTTGTGCTGATTGCAGTCAGACTGAAGTTTCTGCTAGCAGGACAGGGCATTTTGATGAATATGGAAAAACTGCACCAGGGACAAGCCAAACATAATCAGATTGTTTCATTGACCCCCTGATTCTAGCCCCTATTACTTTCTCCCTGGGCTAGATTTATTTGAATGACAATACTTTATGCTGTGCAATCACAGAGCAGCTTCTAGGTTTTATAAAAGACAGTGATAAACTGGATGCCAGTGTTGAGCAGTAGCCCTGCCAGATGCCAACATGACTATCGGAAAGGTAAGATGGCATCTCTCACAGACTAATAGACTTACGATGGTTTTCAACTCTATAAGATGAAGCCACTTTACAGCTACAAGTTCACATTATTTCATATAGTAGATTTATGGTACCTTTTATCTTTAACAGATCATCTTCTACGAGGACAGGAACTTTCAGGGCCGCTATCATGAGTGCATGAGTGACTGTGCAGACCTGCACCCCTATTTTACCCAATGCAACTCCATCAGGGTAGAGAATGTGTTCTTCGTGGTGTTTGAGCACCCAAATTATATGGGACAGCAGTACTTCCTGCGGAAGGGCGAGTATTCTGACTGTCAGCGTATGATTGGGTTCAGTAATCAGATCATGCCGTATGATCCCCATGGTAAGTGATTTATGGGAATGTAAATCAGCAAATAAACATTCAAAAAAACATGCACTAGTTCATCAGTTCTAATAAACAGAATGCTTTTGACTGTAGAAACACACTTTGATATTCTTGCCACATGAAATGATAAATGTGTTGCTTTGTATATCCCAAATCCATGTTTCCTTACAGTATACTGGTAGCTATAGAATGAGGCTATATGACCGGGCTGATATGGGAGGTCAGATGATAGAACTCACGGAAGACTGCCCTAACATCATGGACCGCTTCCATACATCTGACATTCACTCCTGTCACGCGATGGACGGTCACTGGCTTCTGTATGAGCAGCCCAACTACAGGGGACAAATGTACTACCTTAGACCAGGTGAATACAGGAAGTACAGCGACTGGGGAGGAACAGCCCCAACAATTGGGTCCCTCAGGAGAATAACCACTTTCAACTAGACAAGATGAATTGAGTGGCAACATATGCACTAAATAAAATCTCTTGACTGAAACTTTTGCTTGTCTGGTTATTATTTCTGTTCTCGTGTGAAATTAATAGAAAAAGTCAAGTGGTTAATCTATAATAATTATTCTACAGTTAATTGACCTATCAGTGACATTTTCTATTGCAAATCTGATTACCAGACTGGAAAACATTCATTGAAAATTTGGTAAAGCAAAACTGAGAGCGAACTGTCTCTCACACTGTTTATGCTTTTGGCCGAACAATGTGGGGCTCTATCTGGATTAACTGTCCTCATTGTAGTTAAATCTATCACTACCATGACTGTCAAAAAACAAAAGCACCCCTGCTATTTAAAGGCACATTGAACTCAGAGAAATTAGAGGATGTTTTTAATCCACATGAATGTTTTAGTGGTACAAAGTGCTAATCAAACAACAAATTACAAGAAAAAGTGTAAATACAAAGTTATAGCTCCTAAACACATATTCAGTGATGGACGTGCAGCTTTATAATGTGAAGAAGACCGAATAAGAAGACTAAATCAATCTTAATTAATCATTTGGATTTATAGTAAAAGTAAGTAATTATGTTAATATATAAATGGGATGGTTACAAGCAATTTTATGATCAATTTTCATGGCTGTTGATTTTAATACAGGTTTTTTTTGCTAATGGAACTTTCATGGATGACTCTACTTTAGTACTTTTTGATAGTTTTCTACTTTATGTGTGGCTTTGCGATTAAGTGGTCATTTTTCTTGCTGAAATACTGCTGCTACTTTTTTTGTATTTGAAAAATAATCATTTGTCATTTTGTGTAACTGATGAATACCATTTGCACTTATAGAGTCAAATGGTGCTTTACAATATCACAAAAACATTAAATGATATACTGCTTACTTGCTTTTTACGGTGTCTCTACAGTAAGAGGCCTTCTTATAAAAGATGATTGTATTTGTCTTCATTACACAAGACATTTACAAAAAGCATGTAAATAATAATATATATGTAATAATACATATGTCCATGTTACAGAAACATGTTGGACAAACTTACTGCAAATAGAATATTTCTACAATGAAACTGGTAACTTCTGCTTTTGCTGTCATATGATTAAACAACTCTAAATCGTTTCCCCCCCTTTACATGCCACAAAAAAAGCTAATAATGCCTGACTAAGAGCTGAAACAAACTAGAAGTTTTACAAACAGATATCTATGGTTTTTCTAGAGCATGAAGTACATACAAATTTGACATTGAATATCAGAGACAATGTTCACATAACATCCCCAAAACACAGCTGGGTTAACTCTGAATTGATGAATAGGATTTTTCTCTAAATGTTTCTTTGTAATTTCTCCTGCTGCATTTTATTTCACATGAAAGAGTTTATTGGAAAATTCAGTATGTCAATGCAGTTGACAATGCTGTTGAGAATGGAAACTCAGTAACTGCTCCCTCTGTTGAACAACTTCTTTAATGCAAAAGGGATGTTCCATATTGTTCTGTGTGCATTGTGCTGTGAATGTGTGGGTGCCGTACCAGTCCTTTCCCTGGACCATGCAAGAGAAAACACCAAACATGTAATTATATATCCTTTTTCAAGTAAAATCCATATTTTCTAACCCAATATTGTGCTCTAACAAAAAGGTAAACATGTGCCAGTACCCTGACATATTCCTGTATTCATTTGAATAACAATACATTGTTTGTCAAGAGGCAGTATAAAAAGCTTGGGAAGCATATGGAATCTCTCCAACGGAGACCATGGGCAAGGTAGGATTTTTGGCACCACTTTCATGACACTTACATTGAATTGCACCTCCCCTATGTATGTTGGGCTTTAACGCAGATGGATTATTTTCCTAATCGCTGCACTAAAACAAAGTGTTGATTTTGTTGGCTTTTTCAGATTGTTTTTTACGAGGACAAAAATTTTCAAGGTCGTAGTTATGAGTGCAGCAATGACTGCACAGACCTGCACACTTACTTCAGTCGCTGCAACTCCATCAGAGTAGAGAGTGGCTGTTTTATGATCTATGAACGTCCAAATTATATGGGCCACCAGTATTTTATGAAACGAGGCGAGTATTCTGACTACCAGAGATGGATGGGCTTCAGTAGCTCTATTCGATCCTGTCGCCTGATTCCAATGGTGAGCTTCACTGAATGTGCTGCTTTGTGGAGATACTTATATTAAGTTTTTTTTTGACACCAGTGTACTGAATCATTCATTTGCATCTTGACATCAACAGTACAGGGGACCGTACAGACTGAGGATCTATGAGAAGGCTGACTATGGAGGTCACATGATGGAATTCACAGATGACCTCCCCTGTGTGTCTGATCGTTTCCACCATCGACATGTGTACTCCTGTAACGTGATGAATGGCTCCTGGATCTTCTATGAATATCCCAACTACAGAGGGAGACAGTACTTCCTGAAAGCTGGGGATTACAGGAGATACCGAGACTGGTGTGCTACCTGTGCAATTGTGGGCTCCTTCAGACGAGTCACTGATTATTAGCCATTCTGCTTGCACTTATTTATACGAACTGTTCATTTCCTGTTTATAAACATAAGTATTTATAAACATTTAGATTGTTCACTTCTTGTGCCTGGACATAAAAAACAAACAAACAAACAAACAGATAAGAATAAAATGATATTTGTAATAAAGTACTCTGATTTGACTGAATTCTCAGCACTAAATCAGTCTCTCATAACAGAATGAATTGGCTTTTATTCACCTTTTTTTTATTCACGCTTTGATTTTTACATTTTTACACATTAACTAATCTTACAATGATTAAACAAAAAACAATAATAACAATACAAAACTGCCGTTTATGTCCGTATACTGTAGCAACACATAGAAATTATACAGGAAAATATTCCCCTTTATTTTTTCTACAAACTGCTCATAAAATCTGACCTGATCTAAAGCCACTATCTAAATTATATATATATATATATATATATATATATATATATCTATCTATCTATATGTATATATATAATGTGAATTATCATCATATTTTTAGCTATATCAGCAGCCAGTTCATTATTACACTTATTACACCCATTTCATTTCTGATCTCTTTAATGCTTCTACAACACATTTTATGATATTTGCTTGCAGGGGTGTTTTGTAGCTGCTTTGCACAGTTTTAGATTTTCATATGCTGTGACCTTACATTTTTCTCCACTCTGCTTGAATTATATTTGGTTTTTTTTACTTTTTTTTTTTTAATTAAATGTGTCCAGAATAGTTATCATAGTTTTAGTGACAATGACATAAATTATAAACCAAGTATGAAAAATTTCCAGTTTTCATGTTATTAGATTTTGAACAAAAATGTAATTTGTATCAAGGGGGCGTTTTGTAAGTAAACATGGGGGTAGAATGTCCCATGCTGACAAAGCAATTTGCTTTATACATTTACAGCAAAAGCAGAGTACAGGCAGTTTTAGCTTAAAATGAAAAAGAATATAATAAATAATTATGAATTACCAAATTATTGTAGCCTATTTGAAAAATGTTTTAGCTGATGCTAACTGGATAGCTAACTAGCTACCTGATGGTAACTTGAGTCCAAATATTTTTATTCAACCAACTAGTTAGAATACATTTGATGGAAAAACAAAGGATTTGATGTTCAGAAAAGAGTAACTACAGTGATTAAGCCCCTGGGGGCGTTTTACCCCACAGACTAGGTTTGAAAAAAATGAATAAAAATTATGTCATTCTGAAATATAATTATATTTTTCTTAACACATACTCCCTATTTACAGGTCTTACTATTCTCATATAATTTATAACTGTGATGCTCTAAAAATCAACAAGCTTTAAAACACAAATATTATTCTCAAACAACTGAAAAACAATATTTAGCAATTAAGGTTTTAGGTGTTTGAAATGGTATTAACTATAACCTCTAATATGCAACATTGTGTTTCTTTTACCTGTAATCAAGTAAATGTCATAGTGCAAGCATTTGACATATTATTTAAGGCGAGACACTGCAGATGAATAGGGTAAAAAAAAAAAAATCGTCTTACTTACCCAGCTGATTGATTACATTCACTCTTAAGAAAAATGGTTCTAAACAGTACCAGAAAAGGGTTCTTCGGCTTGTAACAATAGCAGAACCCTTTTTAGTGCTAAATAGAACCTTTTTATAGGGTTCCATATAGAACCATGCTTTGAAAATGCTATATAGGACCTTACTGGTGTTATAAATAACCTTTTTAATGATAGTTTTTCATTAATATTAGTATGTTAATATCATTAATATTAGTATTATTTGTATATATTATTTATTGATGGTGTTTTTTACCCCTCTATCTGCCTGGTTTTATAATATCTTGAAGTGTCTATTAGGGTTTTACATCAAATCAACAACAACAACGTGTCAATTAGGTACTTTTTTAATGACGTGAAAATGTAACAAAAATGACAGTGTTCTAACAACAGTTAATAGCAGAATACATTAATGAATGATAATGGACATTGAACATAAATAAATGCTTAATGAAATAAAACAAACTAGAACATAAAATAGTGTATTGAACAAAGCTCCTGTGAAATATTTCACAATCCTCTATGATGCATCTAAGTTAATCATGATCTGTATTTTGGTGGGATTGAATGGCAGTTTCTCTCTGCAGATGATAAGGTTGTAGGATGTGACAACATCTGAAATGCACAGTTGAGTTTAGATATACAATGTGTCTCCTTTCATTTGTTTATGTGAAACAATTATTTATGAAGGCCAAGTGTAGTATGTGAGCACTTCACAATGTTAAAAGAAAAAAGTAATATAAAGTCAAGGGATAGCTTGGTATGTTTATGCATAAACCCTAGCAATAAAAAATATCTAACAAAATGGACCTAAAAAAATCAATATCTATGTTACTTACTTAGTGAAGAAGAGGAAAGTATCCTTAACTGAATAGAGCTGGTCACACTTACATGTTCTCTTAAACTAAAAAGAGAAAAGACATAGAAAAACCAATTAGCATTTGAAAGTTATCATTTCTAGACATTTTAAGAAAGAAATGGTTGACAGTCTGTGTAGTTGGATGGCTGAGCTCCAGAAAATCATTAATGAGGCATCTGAGTGTAGCCTCGGTTAGGGTTTAACAGTAAAACAACAACAACAATAACAACAACAGCATGTTGTGTGAATTATGTTTTTATTGACATGCAAAATTATCAGTGCTCTTAACAACAGTTATTAGCTGAATACATTAATGAATGACAATTGACACTGAACATGAATAAATACATAACGAACAAACATAAGCTTTCCATTAGTGTATGGTTTGTTAGGATAGGACAATATTTGGCCGAGATACAACTATTTGAAAATCTGGAATCTGAGAGTGCAAAAAAATCTAAATATTGAGAAAATCGCCTTTAAAGTTGTCCAAATGAAGTTCTTAGCAATGCATATTACTAATCAAAAATTAAGTTTTGATATATTTACAGTAGGAAATTTACAAAATATCTTCATGGATCATAATCTTTACTTAATGTCCTAATGATTTTTGGTATAAAAGAAAAATCTATAATTTTAACCCATACAATGTATTTTTGGTTATTACAAATATACCCCAGTGACTTACGACTGGTTTTGTGGTCCAGGGTTATATATGTGACCAAAAACAAAAACAAAAAAAAGATAAGAACATGTTTGTTTGGAAGCCAGTTACGTATTTAAAGGTAAATTTGTATTCACGTTTTAAGAATGAAATCATTTACCTGTTGAGAGTGTGTTGACAGTCTGTGTAGATGGATCACTGAACTCCAGAAAATCAGTAATGAGGTGCTTTGTCAGTTACAGATTTCAAAAACAAAAGGGTGGGAATAAAGAACCCTAAACTCTAACACAAAGAACCTTTCAGCATGGGTTCTTCAGAATGCTATGGTTCTAAATAAAACCATTACTGCATGTAAAGAACCTTTAAAGAACCATCTTTTTTTAAGTTTTCTAAAATGTTAGGTTTAAATATGCAAATGAGCCATTATTTAATGAAATATGTGCTAATTTGCATACATTTCTAGTACAAAAATCTGGATGATGTCTAAACACTGGATGATGTCAGTTTCAAAATTCTTGTTTATTTTTTTGACATATTAGAGTCAAAAAATTTTACAGAGGGAATTTTGGGTATCTCATTTTTGTCACTCCATAATTCAGAAACGGCTTAGAACGGACAGAAAACACTATATTTTCACAATTTTAGGGGTATTAAAATGTTGTATATAATCAAGCAAATTATATATGAACAAATCCCTCTGTAAAACCCTTCAGGATATAGACAGGAATAAAAATGTAAAGTTTGGTGTGTGTAAGTGCTACTGAAGTGGAGATTTATGGCTCAGTGTAGGAGAAAAAACTCATTTTGAGAAAACGGCCTTTAAAAACATGTATTGTAATTGAAATCTATTGATACAAATAGATAAAGTGCCATAAAAGAAACACTTAACAGTGTCTTTAGGATGTTTTCTTTCCACTAGTCTGAAAAAACACCAAAAAGCCCAAAATCTCAAACTTGACAGGTGCATGAAAAAACTGTGTTTTTGCCTGCAGTGTCTGGCCTTAAAATATAATCTCATCTTGTCATTTTCATGCCTCATCTGTTTGACAACAAAATCTCACAGACATGTAATCTATTCTGCTGTCTTTTTTACAGTGTGCAATTAATTGTTGTCTGAAGTAGTATGTGAATATATATATATATATATATATATATATATATATAATTATCACATAGTTCAGACAACAATTAATTGCACAATGTACAAAGACAGCAGAATAGATTACATGTCTGGGAGATTCTGTTGTCAAACAGATGAAGCATGAAAATGACAAGATGAAATTATATTTTAAATAATATGTCAAATGCTTGCACTATGACATTTACTTGATTACAGGTGAAAGAAACACAATGTTGCATATTAGAGGTATAGATAATACCATTTCAAACATCTAAAACCTTAATTGCTAAAAAGTGTTTTTCAGTTGTTCGAGAATAATATTTATTATTTTGATAAAATGTATTATTTTAATAGGATTTTTTTTTTGCATGCTTAATTTAATGGTTATCTACCTGGTAAATTGAATTACTCCCTGCAGTATCAATCCTTTCTTGTAATGTGCATGTTTGGAGGAAACAGAATTTTCCAGTGCAACATTTAAATATGTGAAAATGAATAAAATGTTTAATGACAAATAGCACACGCATAATTACTGTAAAAAATTAAATGCAAATGCAAAGACAATGAAATGTTGTCAGTTACACATTTCTGATCATTATTTTATCTCAGACCTCTTATTATATCTAGCTGGAGTCACATGCACTGAATGTTATACATTCATGTGAGCCATGTTATACTTTTGCATAAAGAACATTTATGTCACTTGTGATATTGAAAGAACATTCGCTTTGGATTTGACTAAAGCTTTGCCTATACTGTAAAAGTCAATGCACAAACAGCTACCAGAGATGTATGGTTAAACTATTGTTTCAGTTTACTGGACCACTTCAGCAGAAGTCATAGTGCTTGATCATCAGCTTTTGGCATTTGAATAACAACAAAATGTGGGTCACTGGTTTTTGTATAAAAACCACCACCAAAGGCTATCAAAGTACAGCTGGTATGGTGAGCTGAAGCACTGAGATAAACAACACACTACCACCATGGGCAAGGTAATAGTGTTTGAAATAAGTATGCTTAATATTTCATAGAATTTTTTAGGTTCATATTGCATCCAGTTTTTATTTGCTTAACTCTTTTGCAGTTCAGATCTAAAAGGCAAGTAATTTATTTAAAATCAGCAAAACATTTTAAACCCATCAACAGATCATCTTCTACGAGGACAGGAACTTCCAGGGGCGCAGCTATGATTGCATGAGCGACTGCTCTGATATCTCCTCATACCTGAGCCGCGTTGGTTCCATCAGGGTGGACAGCGGTTGTTTCATGGTCTATGAGCGCAACAGCTTCTTGGGGAACCAGTTCTTTCTGAGGAGGGGCGAGTACCATGACATGCAGCGCATGATGAGCATGGGCATGATGTTCGACACAATCAGATCCTGCCGCATGATTCCTTCAGTACGGGTTTCACTTTGTTTACAGTGTTGTGTTGATTTAATAATGAACTTCACTTTTTTATTATATTATACTATACTATGCATACATTGCTGGGAAACAGCTAAATAATGAAGACATTCTAATGAATCTTTCTTTGTTTTACAGTACAGGGGATCCTACAGAATGAGGATCTATGAGAGGGACAACTTTGGAGGACAGATGTATGAGCTAATGGATGACTGTGACAACATCATGGAACGTTTCCGTATGTCTGACTGCCAGTCCTGCCATGTGATGGACGGTCACTGGCTCATGTTTGAGCAGGCCCACTACAGAGGCAGGATGGTCTACTTCAGACCTGGAGAGTACAAGAGCTTCAGAGATATGGGATACAGCAACATGAGATTCATGAGCATGAGGCGTATCACTGATATGTGTTAAACTGCTACAATTTAGAAGGAAATAAAGTGTTATTTTCAGAACTAGCTGTGGTGTCTATTGTTTTATTGGATTACTGAATGGCTAACTTTTTAAAATGGTCATATCATGCATTGTTTTTAAATTATTTAAAGGGGTCATATGATGTTGCTAAAAAGAACATTATGTTGTGTATTTTGTGTAATGAAATGTGTTTATGCAGTTTAAAGTTAAAAAATACATTATTTTCCACATACTGTACATTATTGTTTCTCCTCTATGCCCTGCCTTTCTGAAACGCGTCAATTTTTACAAAGCTCATCGGTCTGAAAAGCGAGGTGTGCTTTGATTGGGCAGCTGTCTTTTTACGCTTTGCATTGCATCGCGCCGCGTAAACATAAAACCATGTCTGCATTTGTGATCGGAGAAATGACAAACAACAAACGCTACTCTACACTGCCCAAAACTCACGTTTGAATCGTCAGTGGCAAATCCTTTAAATGAAAACATAGTTACAGTCTGTGAGTCTGAACAGCTGGCATTGTAGTCTACTCTCCCAGGATCAGGAAACAGTACTCCATTAAATGTGCTGCACACAAATGAATATTTGGGTTGAACTGTTCTGGAACAGTGTTGTAACAACTTAACCACTGATTTCTAGTCGTGTCCTCTTTTGGAAGACCAAACAAAGTAGTTTCGCTTTCACAACGAAACACACACCGGGCTAGAGTGAGCGGTGGTGGGTGGGCTTGAGAATGGCTTGCGGCAATCACATGTGACGACCCCGGGCTGGACTCCGCTTCATCCACAGTGAAAGCCGATCCGGCGATCCACAGCGCGAAGTTGATGTATTCCCTCAGCGACCA